GGGCTGTGCCCGGTGCCGCCGGCCTTGCTGTCTTGCCCAGGGCTGGCGCGCGCCAAGGCCCTGCTCCGCGCTTACCGACCGGGGCTGTGGGCGCCTCTCGCCGGCCAGGCTCTAGGGACAGCCTCGGCCCCTGTCGCCACTCCAGGGCTCCGTGACCTTGGGCTCGAGACTCAGCTGAACCTTGATTTGTCCTCTGTGAAGTGGAGATCGTAACTGCACTCGTCTGAGGCCTGTTGTGAGGAAGAAGTGAGCTTTCTGTCGCACCTCTCATCACACTGGAGTGTGCCTGCGAATCGTTGGGAGATTCGGATTCTGTAGATCTGGGGTGGGGTCGGCGATTCTGTGTTTCCATCCAGCCTCCAGGAAAGGCCCATGCCGCTGGCCCGCGGACCCCACTTTGAGCACCAGGTTCTACAGCGGTTCTGGGGAGGAGGCGGGTCTGCAGTAAATATCAATGTGAAATACACCGTCCCCCCATTTTTAGCAGGCAGCTTCTTGTTGCATAGACCTAACGAAGGGTGATATTGATGCCTCCCGTCCTTTTTTTGTCTCCAGGGTTAAGAATCAATTGTTCTTTCTCTTTCTGCACAAATCATGACACAGCTTTTCTGTCCCGACTCAAGGAACTTTGGGCCCCCTTACACCAGCTATGGTCATTGATCTTTTCCGTTGACACATTTTCTTGCTTACTCACTCTAGACCCTTGCAGTGTTTCATGCTGGGGCGCCAGTAACCCAGTGCTTCGGCACCAACTATGGCTGGTGTTTAGTGCTCCAGTCATTCGTTGTTGCTGGGATCTGAATTCATGTTTCTTACATTTTGGGCACTTTGTGAAAAGTAAGAACAGCTGCTTTTCCAGAACTACGTTCTACAACTTTCTACTCTGAGTGGTCTTGTGTAAGTCCTAGGACGACTTGCTCACATTTGGGAAATCAAAATCTGAAGGCTTTGTACTGCATAATACAGCTAAGAAAGTGAGGCCTTTGGCAGTTATGCAGGGATATTGTCAGTGCAGTTTTCTTCACCATTCATTGGTTTATTTTTCTGGTTACCGACAAGGCCCTTGTCATTCATTATGCAAATAAGTAAGCTTTACTGTAAAAGAATTCTGAAGTTTATTCTTTATTTGTTTGAAGTATTGTACTGTGCAGTCTACACATTGGAAAAGCAGGTAAAATTGTGTTTGGTTGAGTTAACAATGATAAATACTCAGATAATTTATTTAGAAATTTTCTCTCATGACTATAAGAGTATAGATACTTTTATCTTTTTCTGTATCTCTTTTTTAAAGGTTTTTGCTATAGGTTGTGTGCTCTCACTGAGAGACAGAGAGACAGTGGGAGGATGGCCACACTGCAGTCCCTTCTCTGTTTTCCTCTGAGATTTTGGGCACATGTTCCTAGCACATTTCTCAAGTCACCAGATCTGGGACTTGAACCCTGTCATTGGCCATGTGGGGTCCAGCCACCTGAACCACCTTACCATTGGCTGGCTCCTCCTCTCCCCTTCTTAGACACTGCTATTCCTCTATTAGAATGGCAAGAAGAGTCTGGATGGATAGTCTGTTAGAGCCCCACAGTTAATGTTACTGACACTTTTTAAAAGGATTTCTTAAGATCCCATTTTTAGAAAACTTCTCAGTATTAACAACAGGGAGCAGTCATGTCTTCTCAGTCCATTTAAATGAGTCTACTAAAGAAGTGGCAAAATCCAAGCAGATAAAGAGAAGTATTTAGGAACCAGCAAGTGACATAATGGTTAAGGTGCTCAACTCTCACAGGGCCAACCACAGTTCGAGTCTCGGACCCAGTGGCTTCAAAATCATGTTGGGCATGTGTGCATGTGTGTCCAAAATCCCAGGAGGAGAATGGAGAAGGGACTTCGCTGGGGGCGAAGGGGTGATTTCTCATTCTACTTCCCCGTAGAGTAGGTGCTTCCCTTACCTACCCTGCCCTGTCTCTCTCTCTGACAAGTGCACAGAACCTATAGCAAGTTTTTTTAAAAAGGTAGGGAGAGAGAGGTATATAGGCAGAAAAAGTGTCACAGATAATTGCGATGTCTCCTATAAGCTTAGAAACGAGTACAGAGATGAGGATGTAGGTTGTTAAACTTGAATTGATTTGGTTTAGCTCTGTGGGTGTTCTGTATCTTGACCTAGACACCTTTTCACTAGTGCTTTACTTCATCGTGCTAGTGGATCTCTCTCTCGTAGACTCTACTCCCACGTGGAAACAGAAGCGAAGAGTGTAGCCCGGTTCACATCCTCATTAACAGCTAAGGATCCTTACTGTCAGCCTCTGAGCCCTCCCTAGGGGCTTTAAAGCTTCCTAGACTCTCAGCAGGAGACCTCAACACCCAGAGAAAGTTAGTTCTCTTGCCTTTTTTTTAGGGGTGTGTGTGTGTGTGTGTGTGTGTGTGTGTTTAAAGAATTACTTTATTTGTGGCTGGCAAGTGGCGTGATGGTTGGGGTGCTCAACTCCCAGATGGCCATAAGAGACGAGAGAGAGAGGTGGAGACAGGCACTCTCAACAGAGTCTTATCACGCTGTAATCCCCTCATCATAGCCTTCTAGCTCAGGATCTTGGACACATATGTCCCTGGTGTGATATTCATTGTCGTCTTGGAGAGTACTTTAATTTCCTGTTAGTATATGCAGTTTGTAAATTTAATTTTGTCAAAATTACATATATAAATGATTTATATGGTCAATTTAGTAGGGCTTATAACACTGAGTATTCATTTCCTCCCTTTTTGCCTCCATTTTTGTTCCTCAGAAGCACTTTCAATTATTCATCTATTTCTTCTGGCATTTATTAGTATAGTTCTAAATAATACACTTGGGTTGCTATTTCTTGGTTTTTAAGTATATATATAATCTTTTCCATTTTTTTGGATTTTTGCCACAGGGCCTGTGAAGGAAAGTGAAAAGTCACCCTTCAAGGGGGATGGCCATGTTGCAGTTCCTTCTCCATTCTCTTGGAATCTTGGGCATGCACACACACAGTGCCCAGCACAAGTTGTTGTGTTTTTTGTGGTTTTTTTTGAGAGAGATTTTTGCTATAGTGCGTGTGCGCTTACTGGAGAGACAGAAAGAGACAAACAGAAAACAAGAAATCACGTCCCCCCCCCCAGGGGATATGGCCATGCTATAATCCCCTCTCCATTTTCCTTTTGGGATTTGGGCACACATGCACATGGTTGAATTTTAAGCTGCTAGGTCTGGGACTCAAAACATGTTTAACTACAGGGGAGTCCAGTGGCATAACCATTACATCATCTGCTGGTCCTGCCTGGTGTGAATTTCAAGCCACTGGGTTTGGGACTCACATAGCAGTCAGCCACATGGGAGTTTAGTACCTCAACTACCATGCCACCTGCTGGCTCAAGTATTATATATAATCTTTTGACTTCTTTTTTTAAAAAATTAGTTTAATTTTGTCTTTATAATTGTTATTTTAATTTGACCAGAGAGAAAGAGAGAGAGGCACAGCAAGGGAAAGTGAGAAAGCAAGCTGCCACGTCCGGGACTTGAACCACAGTCCACCATGTGGAAGTCCAGAGCCCCAACCACCACACCACCTGCTGGACTTTCTTTTGACTTCTTTACTATGAACTTTGAGGCTTTAGGTTTCTTGTGTTACCACCCAACCTCTCCTTACCTCTCTTCCCCTCTCTTCATGCTCCCAATATAATTTGCTCATAGGTTTTGGTTAGGCAGTAGATATGGTTTATATAGTATTAATAAAATTGGGTAAATATTACTCACTGAGGCAGGGAGTATAGTATACCATTTTCATTCTTTTTACTTTTTTTTTCGGTAGAGAAATTTTTGTTATAGGGCACATGTTCTTGCTGAAGAGACAGAGACAGAAAGCAAGAAATCACCCCCCTGGGGGGGGGGTGGCCATGCTGCAATCCCTTCTCCATTCTCCTCTCAGGACTTTAGGCATGCATGCACACACACCTGGTGTGAGTTTTAAGCCACTGAGCCTGGGACTTGAACCACAGTTGACTGTAAGGGAGTCCAGTGACATAACTGTGATACCATTTGCTGGTCCCTATTTTATTAATTTCTATCGCTTACAACATTTTTGTCTTCCCTGGAGTTAATAATTTTTATTACTGGGGCCCGTAGGTGGCGTGATGGCTAAGGAGCTAGACTCCCACATAGCTGACCACGCTTTCAGTCCTGGACCTGGCAGCTTGAAAATCACTCTGGACACGTGTGTGTGTGTGTGTGTGTGTGTGTGTGTGTGTGTGCTCGAAATCCTGCAAGGAGAATGGAGGGGAAGGGACTGTGGTATAGCCATCTCCCCAGTGGGTGATTTCTCACTTTCCTTCTCTGTTTCTCTCTCTTTCTCCCCAGTGAGTGCATGCATCCTATGGCAAAAATCTTTAAAAAAAAAAAATATATATATATATATGTGTGTGTGTGTGTGTGTGTATTGTTATTGTTATTCTTTTGTTTTTATTTTTTAATTTTTTGTCTACATATCACTTGTTTATCCCAAGATTATCAATTACTTCTAATAAGTATGGATAATCTGTATAACTCTCCTCTTCAGTATTGCCCATCTTTTCCCAAATGAGCTAGCTGCTCTTTAGGTTCCTCTTTATGCTGACAACTCTTGTCCTGGGATCTTCATCTTTTTTTTTTTTTTAAGAATTATTTATTTATTTTATTTAACTTATTATTTTTTCTAGTTTGACCAGAGAGAGACAAAAAGGGGAAAATGAGAAAGTAAGCCATCAGGTCCGGAACTTGAACCGCTGTCGGCCATGTGGGAGTCTAGCACCTTAACCACTATGCCACCTGCCGGCCCCTCTTTCTTCATCTTTATCCTGTGGTTTTCCTTGCTTGCTTCTCTCCATGTTGAACACTAATGACTGGATCTCGTATAACTCTGCCAAGTGTCAGGTCTTTAGTTGTGGTAGTTCTCTTTACTTTG